TGTTTAATATATTGGTAGTTTAGTAATTGATTTTATTGCCACCTAGCGAGTTAAGGCTGTGTAACAATGTGGGAGGGGGAGGAGCTGCCGCAAACACCAGTAAACATCGACACCCCATCTGATTGGGCAGACGAGGCGAGCGAAAAAGGGAAAAGCCAAAAGTAAAAAGAAAAATGCGCTGCTTTGCGCAGTGGTGTCCAGGCTGGACTGTCCCTATTTAGCACAGTCTAGCCTTGAGAAATAGAACCTCTTGGGACGGCGCTATCCGGGTGGGAGATACATGGTGGGACAGGATAAAAGAATTTAAAATGAAGGGAAACGACGGCCTTACGCTTGCGTTTCTGTTCCCTTTGGGACTGTCACTGGAAGGTTCTCCCCTTGCGGGGGATTGCTCGTCAGTCCAGGGAGGTGCTCAGTGTGTCTTAAAGGGCCCCAACAGCTGCGGCTCATCCTTAAATAACTAGGACAGCTGTGTTGCTAAGGTGATCCAGGTCTCCGCCTCCACACTGAACACGCCCACAGCATCTTATGAACATAAAGCTCACAAGTTAAATGTCATTCTGTCCATCTTGTTACTAGCAGCCAAGTGAACTTAGTGTTTTAAGAAGCCTACCCTATTTTTAAAAGTTCCCATAGAATCACCTTCAACCACACGACTTGAGAGTTGATTCCAGATTCTTACAGTACTTTATGTAAAACATTTTCTGCTGCTTTCTGCTTTTCTGTCTTGAATTACCCAAAACTTAATTTCTTTATGCCCTGCCCTGAGCATTAGAATTACCTTGGACATATAAGAATACAGTATTTGGATTATTAAGTGACTTGACGTCCCTTGATTCTAACCCTGTAACTGGCGTGTGCAGGCCTAATCGGCCCAGCTGCCACGTCTAGAATTTATGGGCTGATTTAAATGACCACAGGAGTTTTAATTTTTCCCCACAGAGTTCCAGAACAAATGTTTCAGGGATGCTGAGCACCTTGTCTTTCAGATGAGATATCAAACTTTGGCAGCGTTCACTGTTAATCAAATGTCTATTAACTGTAGAACTGCAAACCTACCATGCACCCAGCACCAACAGGAGAAAAGTACTAATGAAATTGCTTTATGTGAATATATAACAAATGTGTGCTTTTTTCCCCCCGTATCAGAAAGCTGTCACCACATTTACATTTTCAAGTAGTTGACCTCAGTATCACCAAAACTGTCTACCAAAAAGAATAATATAATCTACAGTGGTGCTAGAAAGTTTGTGAATCCTTTAGTATTTTCTGAATTTCTGCATAAATTTGACTTTTGAAATTTGAAGTCATAACAATAAAGAGAACCCAATAAAACGTAACACGCAAAAGGATATACTTGTTCATTCATTTATTGATCAAAATGATCCAACATTAAATGTCTTTGTCAGAAAAAGTATGTGAACCTCTAGGATTATCAGTTCAGTTAAGGGGATAATTAGTCAGGTTAACAGTTTAGTCACAGGTCACTGCTGTGGGCTGTCTATGGTATTGAAATTGTATAACGTTATACTCTTTACACATTCTTCCTTTAAATATCTCCATTTTAAGTTAATTTTAATTAATTTTAACTTCACACTTTAATGGTATTTCCAAGCATTTGGTAAATACTTTTTTTACTTCCCTGTTCTGTTTAAAGAAAGTGATGCATCTAAATGTTCCGAGCTCCTAAATCTTTCTAGTTCAATGCTACACATTTAATATGTGAGTGATTATATAATGACTAATAGCTTTGTTCTGCAAAGAACATCCACATTACGAATATGATTTTCTCTTGTAGCATTATTATTAAGTTGATGCTAACATTTTTAATACATTAGCCCACATAAAGTACTAATTTTTTTGCTATTGTATTTAATGAGATGTTTTTTTTTTCTGAACAGCCACTTTTATCAAATCAAATTTACCATTTTAAAACTTGGCCCAACATTGCATTTATTGCCCGCATTTTAATGAATTCTTAAGTTTAAATGAAAATTATAGTAAACAGGAGACTGAATCTTTTAAACAGGATGTTTAAAAGATTCATGTTTGATCTTGTACTTCCTGGTTTGCCACTTAAAACGAGGGATTTTTTTTTGTCAGAGAGAGAACAGGACAAACCGGTCTGCAATTCTGAAATCTCATTAACTTTTAACAGTTGAACTTCTCACATGTGTCTTCCTGTGGCAACTGCGTTAAGTCCAAAAATATGGAATGGAATTCACATGTAATGCCTGTCTTATTGAGTAAACCATGCGTAGTGCAAGACAGGTTCCACAGAAACCGATAAATCTTAACTGATACCTCGGTGATTTCAATGACTAGAATCTGCTTTGTCCCACAGGTCAGTCAATGCACCCCTCCTCCAATGGGAGCCCCCATACAGTAAAGAAAGTACAGAAGAACTTCAACAATTACGCTTCAGTGGAGTGTGGTGCTAAAATCCTCTCTGCTAACCCCGAGGCCAAGGTACTGAAACTTCCTTCCTTTGTGCAGTATAGTACGGCCGTTCACATTATTTGTTTTCTTGTCCACATACTGTACATTCATTTTCATCTTTATAAATTTTGTTTTCAGAGCACTTCAGCAATTTTGATGGAAAATATGGACTTGTACATGTTAAACCCTTGTAGCAACAAGATCTGGTAAGTTGTTGCAGTCTAATTTTAGTGTTTGTTTACCGGCCGTTTTGAAAATCACCACACAGACCAATAGTTGTAGATTAAGTATACAATATAAAAAGCTTTCCTTTTACTAATCACTTTGCTATCCCAGTACTTCTGGAGGACAAAGTCAAAATCCTTTTCCTGCACAAATAAAAAAATGTATATTGAGTGACTAGTGTGAATGATAAGTAAGATATTGGTTTATTTTTGGGTAAATCCATGCATATTAGAACCCAGTGATTAAAGGGCCCCTAAGTATTGGGATACATTCACTTTAAATTTCACGGTGTAAGAGACTGTGGTTTCATATCCCATTGAAGCTATACTGTAGCTGCATGAAGTCTGCAACCTGCCAAGTTTACCAAACTCTTTTAATCATTTGAGATACTTGGGTAAGCCTTTGTACAGCCACTTTGGGTTCTCTCTGTTCTTGAGGTTTTTTGACTTTTTTTCCCAGAAGTATGTATGCAAAATGCTTGCTTGATTGAATTGAAAGATTTTTCTGCCTCATGAGCATCTTGGCTACATTGGCAGTGTGCTATGGGTCAGTGTCTTGTTGAATGTTGAAGAGTTGCCCTGTAGGTATAGAAGCAATTTCTTCTACTTAAGCAGATGTAATGATTCTGTAAACTTCAGATTTCATTCTGCTGGTGCCATCATCAGTTATAGTTATATCATTAATAAAGATGAGCCAGCAAGTTCAAAGGTGGCCAGATATGCTCTGACCATGACAGTACAGTACCTCCACCAGGCTTTTTAAGAAGTATAACATTGAGCCAGAAAAGTGTTGAAACTCTTGACAGATGAGAAAGAAAGGAACTGCAGGTTCTCAAAAAAAAAACACGAATCTTTATGGAATTACAAAAATAAAAAAAAATATTGTTTTGTGTTAATCTCGTGATCACAAGTATAAATTTCTTGACTGTAAAGCAAAAAAGTTTTGACATTGCCATCCCCATTGCCATTTTTGGAGGGCACTGTATCTCTTTGAATTCCAAATTTAAAGGCTAAACACTAATTACCCATGCATTTTCCATTGTTTTGGGAAAGATTGTGAAGTTGTCTGTGTTGATGCTAAAGCCCTACCAAAACATGCATACAGTAGCTGTAGAATGTGAAAAGCATGAGCTGTTCATTTGGGAAGTTTTCTGCACAACAGCTTAAAAGTATGCGGCACTGTTTGTGTTTAGCCATCCTGTTTACGATCTAAATTCCTGTTAAAAGGCATATGTCAGAGAGCCACGTCGGTGTGTACAGTGCATACAGTACAGCACATCTTCCACAACTCTTGGCTGTTGTGCAAACACATCCTACTAACGAGAAGCAGAAATGCAGGGGCTGAGAAACCAGTAGCTATTCTGTGCTGTAGCTTTGCATAAATGCTATTTTTGTTAATTCTCTTTTTCACTTCTAATTGCAAGCTTTTTCATTTTCAGGTTTGTAATTGAACTTTGCGAGCCAATTCAAGTCAAACAGCTGGATATTGCAAACTTTGAGCTGTTCTCCTCTACTCCAAAGGACTTCTTGGTTTCAATTAGTGACAGGTCAGTTTTGTCCTTCATCATGGAGGAGTGTGGGATTCAATTAGAAAGAACAAGTTTTATCTCAACTTCAGGTGTCAATCGCAAATGAAACAACTTTTGTGAAATGGGGCTGTTTTTAGAGACTTTGAGAAGGCGCTGTTTGCGAAGTTGGGGAAAAAATGAAGCCTTTTAAGAAGGCTTACATATAAACATAACAGACAGGAATTAGCAAAAACAAATAAATGATACGTGTATCTAAATAAGGTAATGCTTTTTGAGTACTATTCTCCAGCTGTAAAACCATGAAGAAAATAGTTTGTTGTATTTACTCTCAGGTACCCGACCAATAAATGGATTAAGCTTGGCACGTTTCACGCACGAGATGAAAGGACTGTTCAGAGCTTCCCACTGGATGAACAGCTGTATGCTAAATATGTCAAGGTAAGAAGCATTGCATCCTTCTTCTGCTTAGAAGACTTCACTTGTTGCACATAGTTATTTGTTTGTTCACTTTCTAATGACACTTGAGGTCTGATCAGTTTCATTCAATGGCAGATAATTTGTCAGGCTCCAAGTTTGTAGAGCAGAAAAGTTATGTGCCCTGTATTGTGGTTGGAAGACTTTGTAGAACAAATACACTGATGTTTTAAACTCCCTACCAATAATATTTAAATTGGGAAAAGAGGACATATGAAATATTATTCTATTCTTTTGACAGTTGTTCAGTGTTTGGGAGTAAATCATTTTAGAGTTAAAATACAAGGACTCATTGGAGTCACTGTACAAGAAATCATGGAATTCCTAATAAGAAAAACAAATGTTTTTAACTTTTATATTCTGTGGGAATATAGTTTACAATATGTACATATTTCTTACAGTAGTGGTTACTGAAGTCTTTCTCCCAAACAACGTTTGGTAGTTAAACAAAATCCTCATCTTTGACATCTCATGGTTCCTGTTCTTTTTCTTTCTGAACTGCAAGATGTACTGTATACATTTTTATTATTGCTCCATCTACTAATATTGAGTTACCATGATATGCTCTCTACCACAATGTCTGTAATTCTTGTGAATAAATATTTTCTTTGATTTGATGCCAGGTCATTGGCAGTTTTGAATGATAGTTGCAGCAGAAACCTTGTAAAGGCCTTGTATTTCCCTTCTGTAGAGCAAAATAATGCTGTCTGTCTATACTTCTGTTTTCTTTGGTCGCTATTCAGTAAAGTCTTCTTTAATATCTTCCCATTCCTGTAGTCTCTTGTAGAGCTAGATTGTAGAGTGAATAATGCTTATAGATTTTAGCATTAGAATAAAAATTGCTTGACTTGCTTGTGGCATGAATCTGGTCTTCTACTACTGACTACTTTTCTTGTTTTTCTCTCATTTTCTATTTTTCTTGCATCAGATGTTCATCAAGTACATAAAGGTTAGCATTATTCTCTTTCAGATGCTTTGGATAGACAGTTAAATGGGGCTTTGGTGGCAGTGCACAATAAAGCATGGCAGAAAAAAAATTTAAAATAAAGCTTTGCAAATGTAGTTCGGCCTTACTATTTACTAATTCTTAACTATCATGATGTATACATGCTCACATAATGTTAACAGAAGGCCTACCTTTGCATGGGTTTTAATGATTTTCTCCTATATAGGTTGAGCTGCTCTCTCATTTTGGATCAGAGCATTTTTGTCCACTCAGCCTCATCAGGTAAGTGGTTGAGTTGATTGTGTAACTGAGGCCATACTATTTCTTATATGTTCTTAATGTCTTTTGTTTGAAAAAAGCTCTGCTGTGTGTGCAAATGACAACTGTTCCCAGTCAAGTAGCAACAGTGATGGTCTGAAGATTGTCTAGAAGGTGTGTGTACAAAAATAATTTACTGGGAAAACACAAATTAAAGTATTCCTTTTCTGTGTATATACAATTATACTGCAGTGCTCTAATATTATCTGAGGCAGTGTGGTATGCTCTACAAATTACAAGTGTATTGCGTAACATTTACATTTAATAGTTCTGCAGGAATTTGTGCCTTAGGCTCCTGAAGAACCCTATAGTGATCTCTCCTGTAGTCTGTTTTCCTGTGTTCTCAGAATTTCTTGTATCCCTGCTGAGACCAAAATGAAGGGGAAAGCTGTCACAACAGGAAAGCCTATTATTAAAACCCTTAAATTTCAGTTGTAAAACAACAGAAAAAGTGATGCATTTAATTTGAAATCTCAGAAATATATATATACACGTGATATATTACGTGATAAAAGCTCATCGTTATTTTCAGTTAGAGCCGGGATCGGCAAACTTTTTAGAGCAAGGGCCACTAACATTTTTTTTTTACTAACCTTGCTGGGTCACCTGAGTGAAATCCTCTATCTAGCCGATAAACTCACCGACAGGAATAGGTTGCGTTTCTCTGGGCACATCTCCTCCGTGACCTTGCATACCCTGGTTAATAAACTCTCCGCCCGTGAAGGGTTTGCCAGCTGCTGCTAGAAGTTGTGATACCCAATAACTGGCTCGGACAGCCGCAACATATTCTTCGAGTTTTCTCTTGAACAGTTTCTGCTGCCCCTAAAGCGACTTTTTCAACTGTTCTGATTTTTCCCTCCGTCATCTCCTGTCTATTCCGAAAACTTAGCCTGATGTTTTCTCGTAAAGCCTTTTTATGTTGTATTCTTTAATCACAGAGATAAGACACATTGCCTTTTCTTTCCATGGGACACAAAAGTAGTCTTCTAAACCGCTTGTCACTGAATTTTCAACCCTATGCATCGATCTTTCTTTTTTCAGACATGGCAGGAATGCCTTACAGTTAGCCTCTTGTTAGTTATAACTTTTAGAACCATTTAAAATCATCACCTGCTTTCAAACAAGATGGCGTACACTAGACATCACTTGTGTTACTGAGGCAATCGCAGCAGGCAACAAAAATCCAGATGAATTTACAGTAAGAATCAGCTGTAGCAACAGGCATAACCTAGGTTAAAGGTAACGTCTGATAGGCTAAAAGTAAAATGCATCGTGAAATAGGCGTTGTTCTGCAATTGACCGTCAGTGCTGAGAGAGAGCAGCAGAGCTTACAAGTAGAGGCCACTGGCGGAAGATTTTCAATATCTGATGCAAAAAGTAACCCTCGAGATTCCAACAGTAGTGAGCCGCGGGCCACTCGGAAAAGTACAGCGGGCTGTAGTTTGCCGATCCCTGAGTTAGAAGACACTGCGAGTGTCATTCTTTTACGGCTTTCTTTTTTTACATCATTCATTGGGAAATGAGTGACTGTTCATTGTACAGTATTCACTGTTGTGTTTTACCCCTGGCAGGGTGTTTGGCACCAGCATGGTGGAAGAATACGAAGAGATTGCAGAATCACAGTATGCATCGGAGCGATTGGAGTACCTGGATGAAGATTATGGTAATGGCAGCGTTTTTTTTAGATCAGAATTTTTTGTGTATTTTATACTCATCCATTTAGGAATCTCGAATTGTTTCTTTACACTTTGGCTCCTAGTCATAGCTCCTTTTGACATGGATCCGATCCTTTCGTCTTTTCACATGCTAATAACCCTTACATAACAGTTGTTCTCCGGGGATGTCACAGGAGTTACCGTTTCAGAAACCTGGACACCTAATCCCAGCCTGGTCCCCTAATAAGACACAGCCAATTGTGTGCTACTGTTTGGACTATTGCAGTAACAGTCAGCAAGTGACGTGATCCTGTGTTCTGGGCAATAGCCTCTGCTTGTGGAGCCATTTGGGGGACCTGAAAACCTTTAGTCTCAGAGAAATGTTCTTCAAGTGCATCTGTAACAGACCAAATATCAAAGTTTAAGGCAGTATTTAAAGTACTGCAACTTGTGTAGGGGTTCAGTTGTTTCTTTGTGTATAGCACCTCAAAAGTAGTGAATGCTGCCAGTTCTCAGCATTGCCCAGAATGCTTGCTGTTTGTTTAGGGCATTTCTCCTAAACAACCTTTTTCTCCAGATCTTTTACTTATGGTATACTTATGCGTCAGTAAATGACCAAAACTGAACGTAATGTAGAACAAGAGCCACAAATAATAGAAGAGCATTTTTGTAGCTAATCCCATCCAGGCAGTTTTCCATAGCCCCTTGTAAATAAATAAATTGCAGTACATATTAAGTGGTAAAAGCACCTCTGTTTAATTTCAATTTCTGACCCTGTGTGTTTGCTGCTGGGATTGATCTTGTTTTATTTTATCAACCACTTTGAAAATTTAAAATAGGAAATCCAATCCTTATTTGTTTCTCTAGTTCAAGGCTGAGACTCAGTTCCTTTAATCTGTATCTGTATCTGTAAAACCAGGACTTATTGTGGGTCCTTTTAGTGACGTCTTACTAAGGGTGCAGTATCCATTCTCTAGTTTGATAGCTGAAAACTTTATTAATTAGTGCGTTTAAGAATTTTGCCATTTCTGCCTTTGTCAAAAATTCTGTCTTTCACCATATATTTAAGAATTGTTTCTAATGTTTTACTACATTGCCTGGATGAGAACATACATACTACGTGCTTTTCATAGAATACATTTTAGAGATTATTATCTCCACCAATTTATTTACGATGTATATTCCTGCTGCTTGTCTATAGAAGTATACACTTGTCAATAGAAAATTAAGTGTTTGTTTAAAATATAATTTGTCCAAACTATTTAAATGTCCTTTTTGCGTTTTCATTGATGCTGCAATG